CCCGGTAGACGCGCGCTGTCTCGCGACTCGCTCGTGTAATCCACGAGGGCGCCCACACCACCCGCGTTTACCACCAGCTGCGCCAACTCCGGTGTGTGCTTCGCAATCTCACGAATGCAAGTTGCAGCGTTTTTGCGCACCACCTCATCGCTATCCTTGAGAAGCGTGAATATCTTTGGGAATATTTCGCCTTCCACCACCAACTCCGCCAGCTCCACGCTGTGCTTTGAGATCTGCGCCAGGCACTGGCATACTTGCCGCCTCAGTTTGCTGTCGTTGCTCATGATGAGCGGAGCGAGATGGGTGACGGCGTCCTGGTCCACCACCGCCTGCGCAAGCTCAGGCAAATGTTTCGCGATGTCAGAAAGCGTGGAAGCCGCTGTGCGCTTCAGTGATAACTCCGGCTCCTGCACACACAACACCAGCGGTGGAATGGCGCCCTTGTCCACCACCTCTTGCGCCAGTGGGGCATTGTGCCGCGCCACATATCCAAGCGCCCACGCCGCACTCTCCTTCACGGTTGGATCAAACTCCTCCAGACAACCAACGAGAGCCTCCACCGCCTGACTGTCCACAACTGCCTGCGCCAATTGCGGCGAGTGCCGTGCAACACTGCGCAGAACAAACGCTGCTGACTTCTTGTAAAATCGGCTCTGGTCGCTGAGTGAATATACCAACTGTGCCAAGATGTCTCCAGAGACGACGTTTTCGGCGAGCTCCTCGCTGTAGTTTGCAAGGCGACCAAGCGCTAGGGCAGCCGACTGCTGGATAGAGGGAACACTGTCTAAAAGAAGAGGTCGAAGCAGCTGCATGACACCCGCCTGCTGCAGCGCTTCAATGTGTTGCGGTTTGGAGGCCAAGTCCGCTATTGTTTGCACAAACTTGACGCGTGCCCTTTGGTACTCTTCAAATACCTGAATGATCTGGCGGTTGGGCATTTCTCGTTCCTCTCTCCTCTTCTTTTCCTCTTGTTGGGGTGGTGAACTCGCTGGATCCTTCAAATAAATTGGTGTGCGCCGCGCGTATTTGTGTGTGTTCGCAGCTTTACCACTTTCGCTTCTCTACCTGTGTGTATCTCGCTCGGACACGTGGAAAACGTTACAACTACCCGCGGGAGGGGGGAAATAATACCAAATATGAGAAAGGATGAAAGAAAAAAAACTATCAGCAGCAGACATGGAAAAGTAAATTCCAAAGAGAAACAAAGACAAGTCACTCCTGTCGCCAAGATGGTGTGGGTGGGTGCGAGGGAGAAATGCACGCACTGACGGTGAACAAATTACACATCTAACCCCGTTCCACCACTAGGAATTGTGGCAAGTCGACGCTCAGACTCCAAGAGGGCTTCATTCAGCAGCAGCACCTCCGCCTCATGGTGGCGTGCGTCCGCGATGATCTTGCTCTTCATCAGTGAGAAGAGCTCCCGCAGCTCGGCATCGTGCTTCCCCGCCGACTCCGTCCTCAAAGCATCCGCCACTCTCCTCCCCAGCAGCCGGTTGTACTGTTCCTCCAGCTGCTTCACACGCAAGGTCAGAAGTGAGACGGCTGCATCGCCCCCACTACCACCTCTCACACCACCACTGGTGCCTCGAGAGGAATCCTCGGCCCGTTTTTCAAATTCTCGGAGGCGGTGCCTCAGCCGTCGCACCTCCTCCTCCCGCTGCTGCAACTTGTCACGCAATCGTCTGACTGTCGCCTCGTTTCCTTCACCCTCATCTCGTTGCAGCGCGGTAAGGCGCTGCAAAAGCCGCTGATTTTTGGCATGCAGTCGCCTCATGATGCCGTCTGCAACCTCAAGTCTTCGCTGCAAGTCCGTAGCGGAGGACGCTGACTGCACTAACGATGAAGGCCGTGACGATGCGGGTGCTCGTGTCTCACGGCCACTCCGCCGCCGTCGCTGCAATCCACGCAAAGACGGCTCCGCGCTGGCCGCGCGTACGACCCTGTTGGCATCGCGCTGGCGGGTCTCTATTTGCAGTGTGTCCTGTAACGCAGCAAAAAGCTGCAGCGCCTCATCCACTTTGTTAGGCCTCATCGCGCCACGCCCACCTCCTCTTCGTACCGTCCTCGTCGTTGAGTCACGTGCGGCAAAATACAAAAATATATATATAGATAAGATAAGACGACATGTAAAGGCCACGTAGAAAGCAACAACTGCCTTCCGTCGTCATCGAGAGAGACAGAGAACAATATACAAATGCCATCGACCCGTCATCACCCGCCAACCCTCACTCAGCCACACATTAAATAAATAACCAAATATATATATATATATATATGTATATATAGCCAAAAAAAAAACAAAAAAACGAGGGCGATGATCCAAGTGAAGCAAAAACCACAAGAACATATACAATCAAACAGGAAAAAATAAACTTCTCTTCCCCATCATCCGCTGCTGCTTCTAATATACTTGCGTCAACGACTGTAACCGCGCCATAGTAGCAAACAACGCTCCTTGCGGCGTAGCTCCTCCTCGAGGGCGCACAGTCGTTCAGCATGTTCAAGTAGAATAGACTCTTTTTCCACTAGCCGCTGCTGCGTGTGGTGCAATTCTGCCGCCTTGGCATCCACTTCCTCTCGCGACCGCTGGACATCTCTCCGCATCTCCTGCAACCTCTCTTGCGCTTCCGCCAGCCTCCGCTCTCGCCGAAGGAGTTCTGCCTGCGCTGACTCCAACTCGTGCATGGCAGCAGCAGCGTCGATGGAGGCGTCTATCCTTCCACTCAGTGCACCGGAACAAAAGGCAAGCTTTTCCAACTCCCTCCCCCCATCTATGCCTTCATTCTGTACGGCCTGGCGAGTGTTATTCTGCCCCCCTGAGGCATCCATGGCATGAAGGGATAGTAGAGTTCTGGCGCGATCCAACTCTTTCTCCAACGTCAGGAGACGTTGCTTGCACAACTCACACTCCCTCTCCGCGGCCTCGCGACGTACCTGCTCCTCTTGCCAATGATGCATGTAGCTTGTGCTCGTCTCTTGGCATATAGCAAGCTCTTCCTGCAGGCACCCCATCGTTAGTTGATTCCCCCGAATGACCGCCTCCTGCTGGGAGGAATTAACCGACGTTAACGCGGCAGGCCCCTCTTGAGACGACTCGGGCCGCTGTGTTTTATCAGTAAGCTGCAAACGCAGCGCCATTTTCTCCGCAGCAAGTTTTTCACTTTCGTCAAAGGCATCCTGCAGCCTGCTGTGTAGTTCCTTCAACACGACTCGTATCGAGTCGGTATGCGGCGTCTCTCCCGTCACCCTCGGTGGAGAGGCTTCGGACAGGGGCGAGTCTACATGTGGCTTTTTTTTTGACACATCATTATCATCATCCGTACGGCTGGCAATGCGGCCAATAGCTTTTTTAAGAGCATCCGCCAAGACGCGATTCCTCGCCTGCAGGGCTGCAACCTCACGCATGAGTCGCGAGACATCATTGCGCAGTGCAGTTGTTTCCTCCACAAATAGTCGGGCTTTTCCCTCAATAAACACGCGGACGGTCTCCTTTTCAATGACGTTAGAGTCACGATCCATGACGCTCGCTGGCACCGCCCCCGCGGCATGAGATGTGCTGTGGGAGGCTCCCAATGTTGAAGATTTTTCCCCGGCAGAGAGACCCGACAAAGTTGTCTGACACAACCACGACCGCACTGTCCCGTCCGTTGCCGCGGCCCAGAGCCGTAATGTCACAACCGGTTCAATCGGCCTAACAAAGAGGGTAAAGTGACTTGGTGCCTCGGACGCATCGGAGACCAAATGCCGCAGAAAACACGTGTCAGCATCCGTCCCGCTGCCGCCACTGTGGAGATGACGTGACCTGGAACTCGGGCGGCTCACAGCGGGTCCCTTTGGGTAACTCACCGGGAGTTCACTGAGCATCATCAATCGACTGGTATCCCACAGTGTGACGCTACCGCCTCGAGTACAGACCCACATGTGCCGTGGATCCATGTGTAGGGCGCAGTAAAGATAATGTATCGGTGAACACGAAGGAGTGACCTCATCTACACGTCGCAACAGTGTACCGCTGCCAACATCCCACATGTAAATAGCACCAGTTTCCGTTCCACCCCATAACGTCAGCTGCTGCGCCGTCCCCGAAGAAATGTGACGCGGGGCAAGCGTCATGGAGATGACAGCCGCCTTAATGCCACCGTACGTCATGAGAGACCTCCACGCCGCCCCCACCTCATGCGGGTACTCCAGCAACATAATGTCAAAAACACCACTACCACCGTCTGCAGCCAACGCCCCTTCAATTCCACCAGGAACAAAGACGCAACCCGGCAAACTCTCATCCGAAGTCAGACAACGAAAAGGCGGGTGAGATAGCTGAACCGTCTGCAAACAGCAAAGATCCGCTGTTTTCCACGCGGCCAAAACGCCATTTGCATCAAGGGTAAGAAGCAACTCCTGTGCTGTGCCAGAGGCCTTTTCAACAGCGACTGACCCTTTTGCGCCACCATGCACATTTACAAACACACGAACCATCGCCACAATCGGGGCTTCGTGAAGCACGCAATCCGCAACCTCAATGATGCTTTCATTTTTCAGTTGCAGCATCGTCAATAAACCACATTGCTGACCAACGAAGAATATGCAGCAGAAAGATAAGCTCCAGCATAGACATGAGGGATTACTCACATAGCGCAGACGGCGCTGATAGCGAATAGTACCATTCCGTTGGTCCCGCACACGCAACCATCCTCCCACTTCAGCGGTAATTATAACCCCAGACAATGGCTTCTCCATGGACGAGGGGTGAGAGGATTCACAGTGATTCCTCGAGAGCATGAGCCATTCGCTTGTTGACAGCGTGGCAAGAATGGGGCTAGGCGTCACAAAGACCCCTGCGCTCGTAACTGGAGTGGCGGTGACGACACTGCTGTCATCACTCGGCACCAAGCTAAGCACGTCAAGAGCCGGTGCATCTTTGGACCTCTTCCGTCTCTTGCTATAGCCACCACTAACAATGTTATCCATGTTTTCTACGCCACTCGCCGTACTTGGCGAGCGCACAAGATAAGATGACGCCTCGCTTCTTCGCCACAATGGAGCACGGGAACGTGGCATATTAAGTCCCCTCTTCTCCTTTTCGTATTTGTGTGTGTGTGCTCCCTTCTCTTTTAAGCTGCCGTGGCTGTGTGCGGCGCTGTCACACGCACTCGCTGCCCACGGCGAACCGTTGCAGGAGGCATACAACCACAAACGGAAATGGATATAATAAAAAAAAAAATTTTAGCGGGAGAATAACCACGAGAGACAGGGCGCACCCAACCCACACAGCAGAAGTCTCAACCAAAAAAAAAAAAAAAAACGCGTCTATTCTTTCTTTTTTTTTTGGATTCCCCGCCACCGTCTCTCTCACTTCTCCCTTTCATCCGCCCTCCCCCTCCCCTGTCGCAGCCCACGACCGGCGGATGGACAAAAGAGTGAGGACCACGGGCAACAAAGAAGACAAGAAAAAAATCAAGTGAGAGAGGGAGAGAAAGACTCTTCTAGAGAAAATATAACAAAGAACATCACACGGGACGTGAAACATCAACGCCATCAGCATCGACAAGAAGAAATAAGAACCAAAAAAAAAAAAAAAGATATCATCTAATTGTGAAATGTATTTTTGCTCACTTCCGCCGGCCCCCACCACCACCTCCCCTCTATCTCCCTCTCTAACATACACGCAGACACAAATCCCCTCCCAGCCTGCACATACATACCAATACATACAAACTTATATATATATATATATATATATATATATATATATATTTAGACGCCCGTACAAGTCACGTCTCGTATTCTACCTCCCTCTCTTTTGGCTTCTCTTGCTTCCCCACCCCCTTTCCTTACCCCGCACAGAAACACACACTCACGCCAGAACTCATGCTTATCCGTTCCCTCTTTGTCCTCTTTCCGTTTCCTCGCTGAAAAAGAAAACAAAGGGGCTCGGCCAAAATAAAAATTATATAACGAGGAATAGGCGACAAAGAAACAATGTCTTTATGTGCATATATGTGTGTGAAGGGGGAAATTTGTATTGTCTCCTCCCCCAGTATGCATCTATCAAAAGTGACCATACAATTCCACAGGCAAAAAAATAATGACGTAGTCATACCCTTCTCTCATACGCAGGATCACGACTGATTCCACTGCGCAATGAATCTAATAATAATAATAATCGCTCATTGAAGTCACCATTGTTGCGGCGACCGTCAGCGTCGCTGCTGCGGCTCTTGACGTGGCCGGCGTGTTTGGCTCTGGCGTGGCGTCTGCTGCCGGCGTTGGTGGTGCTGTTGCAGCAGCTGCGAGGTAGGGGCTTTGGCGCGAATTTTCGCCTCAATCTTCGCCGCGTACGGGCTGCTTGGCAGTGCGGGGCGCAGGCGGTCGCAGATGCGCTTCAGTTCAGTAGGGCTATCCGTGTGCTCAATGATAGACTGCACAACAAAATTCCCAAAGCTGTCCTGCACCATCTGCAACAAGGCGGCGGGGTTGAAAATCAACTCGTCCATCAGCAGACGTCGCACTGCGGGCACATCGCCGCAGACCTTAATAATCTTTTCAACAGCGTTGCTCGCGTACTTGTTACAACTCATGTTTAAGAGTTCGCCAGCAAAGCAGGAGACCGTGTACTGCGCTGCCACTGTCTTCTCACTACGCTCAATGGCACACTGTACGACATAGTTGCCAAAGGGATCAAGCGAGATGTGAGTGAAGAGAGGCACCAAAGGTGCCATCAACTGCGCCTTATGCTCCGCATTGCATAGCTCAAAAACTCGCATTAGCGAGATGCATCCCTGCTGTGTGGCCGCAAGGTACTGTGCATTGGACGCCAGTACGTTGACAATGGGCTGTAGATCAATCAATGGCTTCTCAAAAAGAGCCTGCAAAATACGTCGCGTGTACTGCGACACAGTGCACAGATTCAGCACCAACGTCTCGTTAAACGAAGAGACCAGTAGGGCAGTTTTTTCAGCGTCCATATAGTCCATCAAGGCACGAAGAACGTGACAACCATGATTATCAAGCGCCACCGTCTCCACATCGGCAATGATCTCATTCACCATTGTACTGATCACCATCGCATCCTGTGAGCGCATGGCGGCCAGTAGCATAGAACGACCTTCGACAGCGCACGCAAGCTCCACCACTCGACCCATGCACTTGTGCTCAAACTCCTCGGCGGTATCAAGAGGGAAAATTGCACCATGTGTTGTGAGCCCAGAAACTGCAGCCTCAGAGTGTTGTTTTAAGGTTTGTTCTTGTTGTTGCTGCTGCGGTATTGATTGGTTAAAGACGCAAGCGTGGGGCGCAGGCCGCGCCGTCGGTCGCTGAGTCCCTATGGTTAATACAGGCGCCACATCCCGACGCGGCATAGTGGTGGACACTGTAGATGGCTGCTGTTGTGGTGGTGGTGGTGGTGGTAATTGTGATGCTTTTCGACTGTACATAGTTGGGACGCACATTGTGGATGACGCGTATGAGTCATCAAAGTGCAATTCGGGATTTCCTGCCATCCTCATTGCGTAGTAGACACGGTACTGCGTGCATGTTGCACAGGGACATTGTGCGTAATTCCTCCCATCTATTTTCATCATGCGCAGGGAGTCGGCCGCGGTGGCGTAAGAGAACATAGAAGATGCATCGTACATATTCTTCTCGGTGTCAATAGATTGTGACTGCGGTGGCGTGGGCGGTGGCAACTTCTGCTTATTTGGCCGTGGTGGGCTGATGTACGTCGCCATGGGTGGATCGGTCTTCCCACGCAGGACCCTTGCATTGAAGTTGACCTCACGAATCTCCATTTAAGTGGGATGTGTTCGCCGTCCGAACGGGAACAACACACACAAAAAAAAAAAAAAAAACAATTCTCTCTAATAAAACTTCGGTCCTTGTCCGGTCAAAGACTTGCAACAAATAAGAGAAGCAAAAAGAAGAAACACGCATGCATGTGAAACGCATTTTATTCGCGAAACTAAATGCACATGGACGCAAACGAGCACCGCCAAAACAACCACCACTTCATTTTTTCAATCATGGATTTATTCATTCATCCCTACCCGTTCCCCCCCCCCCCCCCCCAAGCAGTTGCTCACTCTCAGTACTCCTGCAGTATGCATTTATTCTTCTTTTTCTTCGCCATGAGAAACCAAATAACACAAATAAATACACACACACAGAGGGAAGGAGAGTGGGGGATGGGAAGAGGAAAAGAATTGCGCCTTTACCTGCTGTTATGGAGGGCCTCGTCACACTCGGAGATGATCGCCTGACAGATGTAAGACACATCGTGCAGCATGGCAGCCAAATCCGGCACGTTCATGCCAGCAGGAAGGAAGGACCCCGCCGTGTCGTCCAGCTCACCCCGCGCACGACAACCCTTCTCCTGCCGCCATGCATTACCGCGGCGTGACGGCAGCTGCTGGTAACGCATGTAGCACACGTGTCCTGCCGCATTCATAGCCAGGTGTAGTTGTTGCGGTAATGCAAGTTCCTCCAGGGGAGTGGGATCTACGACGTAATGCCGCGTGGGAGATATCAGCAGGACAGTCAGAACAGGGAGCCGCGACCAGTCCACGGGACGACAAAAGGGTTTACTGCGGTCCACCTCCAGCGACACTCCGCCAGAGGCTTCATGCAGTGTGACAGACGGCAACTTCACCGCCTTCAGTGCGGCGTGCACAGCGAGAGAGATGATAGATGGAAGGTTCCCGTCGTTCGTCTGCAGCACGTGAACGTCCACGTCAATGCGGAACGCGTAGCCCCCACCAATGTACAGTTCCTCTCCCGGAAATCCACCACCACTATCGCCCTCCTCCTCCGCAGGAAATCTGCCTTGCCGCAATCCCTCATCCGCTCCTTCTTCATTTACACCACCAGCGGTTGTTGCGGCGTCATCATCATCGCCATCGTCGATAATTTCTGCCTCTGCCAAGCCCAGCTGCTCCCGCACAGTTACCCCCTCTGCGCCAAAGGTCTGACTAATAGTTGTGGCCACAAAAGAAAGAAATGCAAGACGGTAACGTCCCCCGCGGTTACGCAGAGCCTGTGCGTAATAGTCCACAACAGCAGGCACAGCATCAATGCTGATGAACAATGGACCACGCATCCTTTTTCTTGACGCCGCCTCACCGCTCTCACTCAATTCAATGATAGATGGCGTTGCTGCAGCCAAAACGGTAGTGGCGCCGCACTGCACTTCCACGCAACTGCCGTCGTATTCGACATCCACAATTGAGGCACCCGCGCTGTAGTTTGTCCGGATTGTGAATGGCCGCCGCTGCGTCAGCGTCCGCCCGTCGCCACGAACGTCATTTGCGATTCCGTCCTGTACCGCCCGTATCTCCGCCTCACTGATGGCGGGGCTAAACAACATAGCGGCTGACGTCTAACACAGGGAGGGGGGGAAAAGGTGGAAAAGTAATATGAAGCGCATAACACCCAAAGGAACGACAAAAACACAGCTCATGAACACATAAAGACATGGATACCGCTTTGAATTTCTAGTATGCCTTGGCGGTACCGTCGTAGATGCTGCCTTCTTTGATTTTCCTTCATTTTTTTTTTTCGTGTGTGTGTGTGTGTTTGTGTTTTCACTTCTTCTTTCTTTTTCTTCCTCCCCTCCTCCTCGTTCTTCGGTTTACTTCTTTTATCCCCTTAAAATAAACATATAAAAGTTCCTGCCGCAAAAAAAAAAAAAAAGCCGCAGCAGAGCCCGGCACCGCACCCGCTCCGTCACGCCCAGAGAAATCTGCGGTGCGGGTGTTATACGGCGCCCTGATAACAGCTTCAGTGGCGATGAGCATTCATCAGCGCTCATCCATGGAAATAAGAAAAAAAAAAAAAAAGAAGGGAAGACGATGCGGTTCCCGAACCCTCCATCAAGCTCTCTTTCTTCTCCGTTCCTCTTTCTCATTCCGTCAATACCGTCCTTACAATTTCCCTCTTTACTCCCTCTCCCCCAAAGTACATTTATATGTCATACGTGTGGAATGAGAGAAAGATGAAAGAAAATGATTAAAAAGACCGGAGATTCGTGCTCCCACTACTTTATTCCTCCTTTATCGAGTAGGCTGAGCTTCTCTCCTATGCCATACGCGATGGACTGCGTGTTGGACCGAATGCGTACCACGCCACTGATCCTGCCTTGCGCATCCCTCTCGATAGACACATTCGCTAGCGCATCCTCGCCAAAGACAGTGCGGGCGTAAAGACTACACGAAACGTAACCGTAACCGCCATCTTCGTCCGTGGGCGAAAGCCCCTGCAGCTCCTCCTCGTCTACATCTTGGTATGGCTCCAAAAGCTGCATGTTCGTCTCCTTCATGACAAACTCAACATAATCGCGCAAGTCCGTTTTATCTGTGTTCACGGCAATGGTGTTCTCCCAGTCGAAGGTGCCCCACTTCTCGCGGAACTCTGTCGTCAGACACGAGGCTGGTTTAATGTAGTCCATAATGTCAACATGAATGTCGTTTAGAATGACGCAACAGCGTTCACCATTGGGGGCATCGTAGAGGACGCTAGCGTAAATAACACCCGTTTCGGTCGAACTCACCTTAAGCGCTGTGCGAAGCTTAAGAGAGCCATGGGGGGGCAAACTGTGCACCTGTGGTCGCTCGCACAACTTCATACCGCCCAAAGACGCCAGCTCGATTGTTAGTTCCTGCATCAGATTTGAAGTTTTGTTTACAAGGTACCAATCCACAGAGACATCAAACTGATGGACAGTCACACTTGCCTCGCAGTACACCGGATCGCAGAAGCCAGATAGTGGAATCGTCTTCTCCAGGCGTTTGAGGAATTCCTCCGTCTTGTCAATTGAGGCGTTCGCAATAGCAGAGCCCAAGTCATCCGTGGCCTCCAGCTCCAGGAAGGCATCCTTCCCCTGAGCTAGCTGCGTAAAGATGATGGGTGTATCGATGCTACAGAAAGCAGTCGGCTCCTTCGCTTTGGACCAATCGCTGGGGAGCGTCTCCCCAACGGCGGTGCCAACAACCGTGCTCTCCACAGCGTTAAGCGCTTTGTAGGAGTCGTCCACAAAAGCCTGCAAAAATGGCGACTGTGGGTTCGCAATGGTAATGATGGACAAACGTATATGTTCGTGGGAGTCCTCGTCCATTGCACACGCCGCGTCGGGTGCGGTGCCGTAGCGAATGATCTCATGCAGAAGCATCAGCGCATCGTCCTGTGCCTTGGACTTCACCGCCATATCCACGGCAGAACCATAGTTCGTGAACAAACGGATAAGAAGCTTAGACAGGGTGCTGGCAAGAGCAGAGGCAACAAAGTAATCTCCCTTCGTGATGAGTAATCGCAGGCCGGCTGGCACCACCCCAGCATCTTCTGTCGTATCCGTCACTGCTGCTACCGCCGCCATCGTGCCTGTCGGGACGGTTGTATAGGAAGTAACATATGTTCCGTCCTCCCTCACTGTCGTTACGGCACGCATGACGGGAGATTCTACTCCATTTGCATCTCCATTGACAGATGCCGCCGGTGGAACAGGTGGCGTGAGAGGCAGCGGCTTCAACGAATTGGCCAGCAGCGCGAGTACCCTCAGCACTTCGTCCGCTGATGAAACGTGTGCACCAAATAACCACAGAACGGTACGCACCACTCCCGGCGATGTGACCATAGGGAAGACTTCAAGCAATTGCTTCAATGTACCGGCACGCAATGAAGGCTGCACCTGAAGAACTTCACGGATGAAGGAAATAACTTCTTGACTCCCGTTGGAAGAATCGCATATGTAATCCATCATCATGGGCAGCACTGTTGCAGCCATTTGTGGTTGGCGAATGACGGCGGTGTGAATGGCGCGGATCAGCAGCTGCCTATATTCCTGAATCGATGACTTATCCAAAACGTCTTCCTCGCTCTGTGACCTCAGCAGCTCCTTCTTTATAGCCTGTAAAAAGACCTCAACGTTTTTGTTGGAAACAAGTTCCACTGCCAGTGTCACCACTTTTTTGCAGATTTCTGTCGTACTGTTCGCCAAGACACTCATCACGTCCAGTAGGGATTCCTGCAGAATATCACCAAACCTTATCCGCATGCCGTCCAGCTGATCCACCACGATAAGCCGCACACTGGTTGTCCGAGTGTGTCTTCAGCAAGTCAATAAATGTCAGGGCGGCCTGTCGAATAGCCGTAGGGGATGAAAG